ATATGTGTTTGTGTTTGTGTTTGTGTGGGAAGAGGAAGGAAAAAGACACCAATAAGTATTCGTGCGTTTCGCTTTTTCCCCCACACTCTTTGTCGTCGTTTGTATGTATGCTTCGCCATATTTCTCACACCCTTCCTTGTGACAACGTGTTGGGTGTATCTTCGCTGCAATCCACCTTTTTTTCCCCTTTGACCTCACGTAAGCCACTGCAAACATCATCCTCATATCCCGTCCAAGTTGTTATGCGGCTGCCTCCTCTGCGACTTTCTCGTCTTTCGTTGGATTCATCCGCTGCACCTCCTCCGCTGACAGCCGCGGCACTGCCAATCCACACCCCTCCTCCACGCGCTTCAGCACCAGCTCCGTACTAGCCTCGTACATGCTGCTGGTTTCGTCTACAAACTGACGCACTGAGCGAACAAGGGAGTCGTTAAGAAGATTTTCCTCCTCACTTATGGGCAGTCGCGCCCAGAAAGCATCCACGAGGACGCTGGCAGCCAGATCCTCCGCGGCGGGCGCGCCCATCAGAGGAAATAGGCGCATAAGTGGAATCACCACATCTCTTCGCCAGAGTTGACGTGCCAAATCAGGGGACGCATACATGTACTGCGACCGAAACTTGATGGCAGGAAAAAGTGTTTGCTGCTTGCAAACCGCAACGGCGAGTTCCTGCGGCATGATGGTTGCGTGAGCCGAAGTGTCTAAACCGCTGTACCGTGCCCAATACATGGAGATGCCTCGTAGGAAAGAGGAAGCTGTCGCAAACTTACGGTACACATGACCCCAGAGGGCGCGCTTGAAATAACTCTCCGTGCTCGCCTTGTTGATGCGCTCGCCGTAAAAACGAAAATACGTCGTCACATCACATGGGCGTAGTTTCTCAACACATCCGACTTTAACATAATCCGGTGCGACCATGCGGTTTAGCAGCTTGATCTCCTTCTTCTCTAAAGCCCCTTTGGCGTCGGAACCCAGTAACTTCTCCGTGAGGTGCTTCACCTTCGCCTCGACCATGCCACGCGGAAGATACGCCCGTGCCTTCATCTCAGCATCCTCAACCCCACACACGTCTTCCTCCACCAGTCGCATCATACACGTGTAGTCGTAAATCTCCAGAGGGAGGCTGGGGTCCAACTCGCGCCTGTTTGGGACGCTGGCCGCCTTCTTTGACGCCTGCAGCATGCCTACCTCGTAGTCCAGGCGTTCACCAATATCCGTATTACAGGCATGCAGACACTGCAGCATCGCTGGGTCGGTCATCTTTGGTGCCTTGCCTGTGTCCAGAAGCGTGAGCTGTTTGTCAATTGCCTCGTCAAAGAGCTGGCGTCTCACGTAGTACACGTGCGAGTAACGCAAGAGCAGCTCCAAATCACACGAGGCCAAGTCAATTTCAATAAATTCGTTCGCCTGCTCCTTCACGCGTTTGCGACTAGCGTACCATGCGTACACTGGCTGCAGTTGTCGCAAAAAGCGCTCCTCCAGGGCGAGTGTGGGGAGAGTTCCAAGGAAGACACGGAATGGCGTCAAAGCCAACTCCCCACAGAGGCCTGGGCAGATGGTCATTAACTTCTCTCACGCCAAGCCACAAACTTCGGTTAGAGTGAAGGAGTAAAAGAAGTCCTCGGTCAAAAACCTGTTGGCCAGCTTTGAAATAATTCAACATACACACGGAACAAATAGCGCCCCAACAAACAGCAAAGTCACGCGAAAGGAAGCAACGAAATGCCCAAACACACATGCAGATAAGTCTCTCTCCCACACACACACCTCCCCAGCAAAGAAAAAAAATAAGGGAAATGCAAAGACCCCATTTCTTCCGCTCGCCACACCTTCCATTTTTCTTTCTTTTATTTTTAGCCCTCACGTCAATGCAACGTTTGCTCTTTCGCTCTCTTTCTCTCTGGTTGCAGGTGGATAGGTATTACGCTACTATATCTTTTTTAGAATGTTTTCCCTTCTGACTTTTGTCGCCTATGTGTTCCCCACTCTTTTCCCGGTTTGTTCTCTTCCTTCCTCCCTATACATATATGCCTTCACACGCGTCTATCCATGCTTTCAGAAACAGGTAATATGGCGTTACTCCTTCTTGGGGGACGCAGGTTTAATAGAGAAGAGCTTAATGGCTGCCTTAATAGACGACGGCAGTTGCCCGTAGATAACTTGCGAGAGGAATTCCATGAAGGTAAAGGCAGCATCTGTGATTGGGTACTGTAGGATAGCCGGTATGGCTGTCTTCACGCCGGGAATGCGGTCTGTCGTTGAGGCCCGCACAATGCAGTTCCCACGAAGGCCTTCTCTGCCGGCAAAACGATCAAATCCACTGACTCCCACCCCGCCAAAGGGCAACGACTGACAAAGGTAGTTAATACCAAAATCATTGATGTTCGCCATGCCTGTCCTCAGTTGGTCCGCGATCCGTTTGGCACGCTTAACGTCCTCCGAAAAGACGCTCGAGCCCAGGCCATACTCGCAGGCGTTGACCATCTTCACCGCATCCTCGTCGGTTTTAAACCTCATCACGACAAGCACAGGCCCAAAGACCTCTTCCCGCGCAATCGGCATAGTGGGCGTGACGTTCGTGAGGATGGTCGGTGGGAAAAATCCATTGCAGGGCTTACCGCCGCAAACAAGCGTGGCACCCGCAGCAACGGTGTCGTCGATAAGTGAGCGAATTTTTTGTAGGGCGGCCTCTCCCATTGTCATGGCTCCCATGTCGTACAATCCCTGCGACGAGGGACCCTGCGTGAGTGTCTTGACGGTCCTCTCCAGCCTCTCGACCAGGCGGTCGTGGATGGACTCCTGCACAATGACACGTTCCAGTCCAACGCAATTTTGACCGCAGTTCTGGTAAGTGCCACGCAAAATGATAGGAACCACCTGCTCCAAGTCCACATCGTCACACACCACCGCAGGGTCCTTGCCGCCAAGCTCCAAGACAACAGGAGTAAGTGTCGCTGAGGCGTTGCGCATAACGAGTCTCCCAATTGTGGGGGAGCCAATAAATGTGAGCTTATCTACGGAGCTAACAAGCGTCTCCCCCGTTTCTGCAAACCCCGTGACAAAAGTCACGAGATCCGGAGACTGACCCAACCTTTTCAAGCCCTCCCTCACAATGGACTGATAGTATGCCGCGTAGTAGGAAGAATATTCAGACACCTTTCCCACAAATGCGTTGCCAGCAAATAGTGCGGAAATCATTGGTCCATAAATGTTGTGAAAGGGATAGTTCCACGACACAATGGCCCCAATAACACCAAATGGAACGTAATTCACGGCGGCGCGTTTGTGAAACGTCATGAGACCAACATCTCGTACTTCTTCAGCTAAAACCTCCTCCCCGTACGCCGCTGTCCAGCGAAGCTTCTCTAGTGTGGTGAGCATTTCCCCCAGCGAACCGTCCATCATCGTTTTTCCACACTCCACGCAGGCAGTTTCACAAATAAAGCGTTGGTGATCCAAGACGTAATCCATCAAACTGAAGAGCAACATCCGTCTCGTTGAAAAAGACGTCTTTGCCCAGGCCCTTTGGGCTTCTCGAGCCCGAGCGACCGCCGCGCGCACCTGGTCTGGGGTCGTAACGTTTACAAGGCCAATCGGTGCGTTCGTGCCCTTGTCATAGCACTGTATTGTGCCTGCGGGGCCTGATCGAGGAGTGAGGGGCTTCGTGGCTGGCGCCGCGTCAAACGTTGTCCGCGGCAAAGGCACCGTGATGGTCGGCGCCGAATACCGTTCCACCGTGTGGAGCAACACCGTCAGCAGAGAGCGCACGAGACCCAGCTTCCATTCCAACAATAGCAGCAGAAGAATCCCATAGAACATTTGCCCCAAAAGAGATGAATACAGTGAAAAGATGGGTGTGATGGTATTTGCTTATTTCTTTTCCTTCTTCGTCTTTTTATGTGGCCCCTCCTACCTTCTTTTTATTTGTGTCTGTGTGTGTGTGTGTGTGTGTGTGCGCGCGCGCCTATTGGAATTCCTTCAAGATTACCTCCCTGTTGATTTCGCGCAAAGAAGTACTTTGTTTGTTCGATAAAAACCTTTGAGCGCCATGCCCAGCAGCAGGGAGAGCACAGGGAGAAGGTCCGTTGTATCGCCACGAGGGGCGGTGCCATTTCGAGTTACCACAACACCAAACGTCATCCGCAGCAGCGAGTGCGCAAAGAAGAGAAGAAAGCGGTGAAAGGAACAGCAACCGCAGAGAACAACAACACCAACAACAACACCAACATCAACATCAAAGCACCGGCAACATCAGCCATCCCCACAAAATAGTAATTTGCTGATCATCGCCATGCGGTCCGTCATCTTCGCACTCACTGGACAAGAAGAAGAAGAGACAGATGGCGTGGAGCGAACGAAGTAAGAAAGGGGGACGAGCGTCGCCCAATGGATCCACGCCACAAGCCGCAACAAGTTCTGCAACGCGGTGCAGAACGCCAACAACCGCCGACAAATGGACTGGGGGCAGAAACGGACAATCCCACTCCTCCCACCCCGGTAAGAGAGGCAGCAACCAGCGAATATATGGTAATAATAATTCAAAGACAGTTCATGCGCTGTGAATGGCTGCATTGAACTTTCCTTTGTTTCTTATTGTTGCTGTCCATTCCATGCCTTTGTTTGCACCTCTTTTTTATTTTATTTTGGGGCGTGGTTGCTCCCCTGTGCGGCTTGCTTCTTCCTACGACAGTATGCATCCCTTCTTCATGGGATTCCCATCCTGGTAGCGGGCCACCTCCTCCCATATGGCGCGCCGCAGCTGCGCCTCGGATATCTCCGCGTGCAGGTCAAAGGAAACATCGGCCTTGGGTGGTCGAGTGCAGTGCGACACCCCCTCACCCCCAACGTGCGCGAAAAACGGGTGTTGCAGGGCCTGCATCGCCGTCAACCGCTTGCTCGGCTCGAAGGCGAGAAGCTTTGTCACCAAATCAACGCCCTCCGCCGTGAGGCCCTCCAACAAATCTGCGAGTGGCCTTTTACCCTTGTATTTTCTCTCAAGCTCGTTAAGGAATCCCAAGGCGGCTCGGCTGCCGCCCTCAACAAACCCCGTTCCTGTCATCGGAATGCTGGAAAGCACCAGCTGCATCTGGTGAACATAGTCACAGCCGCCAAAGAGTGGACGGCCTATCACGTACTCCGCAATGATACACCCCATGGCCCACATGTCGATGGGAAAACCATAGCGACACATTAGCAACAGCTCCGGAGGACGGTACCAACGAGTAACAACGTAGTCCGTGAGATCTAACGGTTCATCTAAGTCTAACAGACCTGCCCGAGCGAGCCCAAAGTCACACACCACCGCATTATCGCTGTCAGGTTTATCCCCAATTAAAATATTGCTTGGTTTAACATCACGATGAATGATACCCATGAAATGCATGTCAGCCAAACAACGCAGTATACGTACCATGATTCGCTGCAGCGTAACGATCGAGTTGCTTTTCACACGATGAATAACCGTGTGAAGGTCGGTATCGTAAAGGTCCGTCACTATGCACAACTCACGGAAGTCCGCCACACTTTCTCTCGGAGGCACAATCCGCAAGAGGTTTAATGTGTTGCGGCAGCCATTTTCTCGGAGGATACGTTGTATTACGATCTCCCGCCAGATGCGACGGCCATCCACGAGGTCATCAAAAAGGTGGCCGACGCGCTTGATAGCCACATTTCTAAACTCCGTATTGTCAAACGCCGCACACACAACCCCATACGCCCCATGTCCCACGACTGATGTCAACGTATAGCGTTCCTCCACCTCAAACAGCTGCCCACGCACGCGATACGTTTTCCACCCAAGCTGGGTAAACGCGAGCTGCAATAGGCTGGCTGAGGAGCCTTCCGTTGACCCCTGCATCGCTGGCCCTCGCCGGGGGCGGTAAATCTCACAATATATACAAATATATTTGTACCACCGTATATGTGTCTCCTCACCACCCTCTCTCTCCTCCTCCCTCGCTAAGAGTCTGTGTATTCAGCAGCGTGCCTTGCCGTCAGCCCCACCGCCAGAGGCAAAGACGGAGCGAAGAGGAGGTGGACTAGATGACAGAACGCAAAAGAAATAAACCAACCAACAACAACAACAGAGAGTGAAAAAAAAAGGAGAGGGGTGGAAGGTCCATCGGCTCGCATACCGACAATGTGTCCCAAGGGAAGGCCTAACAAGAACAGTAATACGCCTCAGCAACTCATGCAGAGCGATAGTATAAAAAGAGAAAGGTAAACAAGAAGCAACACGATGTTCGCCTCAAGGCGAATAACAGTTTTTGACAAGAGGCGGTGGTGAGAGCTTCCGCAGGCCTCTCCACGAGTCTGAGTGTCTCGCACGTCGCGGCGAGACACGCCGATGGCTTGCGGATGCACTGGCCAAAGAGATGGCCCTAATTTTTTTCAAAAGCTCGTCCAGCTCCAGCTCTTGGAGCAAACGCGTGGATTCAACCGCCTCCTTCACGACGTCCAGGCTAGAGCCTTGAGAGGTCACAACGGAGCGGAGTTGACGGCACTCCTCTGCAAGTATATCCCGTTCCTTCTCTCCCCGCTTCAACACCACCTGCCACTCCTTTTCTCGCTCATGAAATTCCATGACGTTCTGCAGACTCTCCTTCCTTAACGCCTCCCACCGCTGCTGCGCGCTACGCAACGCTGCCTGCGTCTCTGACAACTCCTGTCGGAGCCCATTTTTAACGTCCCCATATTTCTGAAGTCCAATTCCATCACGCAATTGTTCCAGTCTATTGTGGCGATCTATTTCTACCGGTTGCATCGACTTACTCGCCTCCAGCCGATTCCGGTCTATCTGGTCCCTCTGACTCTGAGGCACCTCGTCCTTTTCAGCGAGGCGGGACTCCAGCAGCGCGACTCGCGCCTCAGCCTCCTTCAGTTTCTCCCCGTTTGCCTCGGCCTGCTGCAGCGACTGTCGTAGACGTTCTATCTCACGTTGCATTGCCCCATTTTCCTTGGCGAAGCACTCCTCCCGCTCTCCCAGATAAACTTGCAGTTCTGCGTGTGCCGCTCGCAGCGCCGCGTTGTCCTCCACAAGACGCCTGTCCTCAGAAGCCGCCTCACCTCCCCGGGTTAACTGCCGCCAGCGTGCGGCGAGGCCTTGCGCCTCCCCATCTGAGAGGGCACGGGCCTGCAACACCGCCCCGAGATCCACTATCCCAGCGAGTGCGTCCTCCGAAATGTGGCAGCAGCCCTCCACGGCGTCCCGCACGGTAAGCGCCTCCCGCAGCACCGCAGCGGAGCGTTCCACAGAGACGAGACCGCCCTGCATGAGCCACACGTTGCACCATGCGGAGCCCAGCATGGAGGCAATAAGGGTTGTGGAGAGTTGCTTCACCACAACAAGGGCCATCGTTCGACTTCTAAACTTCAGCGCAACCAAGACGATACGCTGCATCCCACGCATCACCTCCATCACAGACCCCATCTCCTCCTGACCAACAATTTCGCACCGCACCGAGGCCTGGTCAGACGCAAAAAGCATACACTGCAAGGGCACAGCATCCTCTCCATGCTGCTGGTACGTAAGTTCGTAAAGGAGCCCCATCAAAATTTCTCTGGAGTCCTCGGTACCAACAAGAATATTCATCTGATGAGAGAATGCGGGAGCGGAACGGACGCGCGCGGCGATGGCGCTCACTACACGACGGGGAGTAGCATGGCTCAGCACCTGATCTACACGACGCGTGAGACTCTCCAATGCGAGACTCGCCTGCTCTTCAAGCAGAGAATTCGCCCCACCCCCCGACGCTGGTGGAGCGGTGCACAGGATGATGTCGAGGCGGCCCATCCTACACAGCACAAGGGACGGAAAGGCTAGTGGGGGCGGCCAGAAGGGCAACCCAGAGAAATGATAAAAAGTAACGGAGGGTGAAAGACCACAGACAGCAAGGAGGCAGCCGCCTTAACAGTGCATGTGGGCACAAGCCAGCAGGTGTCGGTGCTACTGCCATGGGGTAAAGCAAAAAAAAAAATGAAACAAAGGAGTGGGAGCCCACAGACTTCTCTTTTTATTTTGCCTTCACCCGTTACCTTGGGCATATAGTCCCATTCACAACACAGCAGCTGACACGCACACACACACACAGTTATATATATATATATATATAGCCACGCTCACAAAAGAGAGGAGCCAAGGCCAACGCAGAGGCATACAGAGACGCAGCCAAAAGAAAAACCAGAAAATCTCCCCTAAAAAAAAAATCACACAGACACACACACAATGAAGTAAAGAAAGAAAAAGCCAGTGCCAGTCATTGACGCCTTCTATTTTTTACTTCCCTTCCAATGAATTCCGGCCGCGACACCAGAAACGCTGACCAGAAAGCCGACCTCAAGGCCCCTCGCAAGGCCTGCCTGAAGGGGCGTGACTGTAAACCCTCCCGCGCCGCAGAGGCAAGCAAGCGCAAGGAAAGTTCTGGGTATATAGTCGGATCCTCAATGATCTCCTTCCCAGTTTCTTTCGACATGCTGATAAGCTCATCCGCAACCCACTGGTCGCAGATGATTTCTTTCACAACAAACTTACGCAGCGTGGCGACAGTTTCCTTGTTGGTAGTGAATTCCGCCTTGAAATGTGATTTAAGAACCCCCACCGTGTCTGGATGCAAAGCCACGTCCTTCACAAAACGGCGAAGCAGCTTCAGCGACTCTTCGTCGCGAAAAAGGACGGTGTTCACCACTTCACTAGAAAGTGCCACTGCAGATAGGCGAATAAGCTCCTTGTTGCGCTCAGGTGATGGCCGATGTACCCAGGGACGGTTGTAGACTATGGCCCCCGCTCCGCACAGCCCAACAGCCGCTACGGAAGTCCGAAGGAAGTGAGGCATGACATGAGTCTTGCTATTTCCAGTTTACTTACTTCAAGCCCCCCCAGTGCTCATCCAAGAGGGAGAATAAATAATGATCAAACACACGCGCACAGAAAAATAGGAAACAATAATAGTAGCTGTAGCCATGCATGAAGTTTCCATCCATCTCTCAAATGAAGAGTACTCGTCTCATCGTGAAACCCCCTTCCCCCTCCCCCCGCCGCTTTATTATTTCTCCCAATTATTCTGACACAACTGAAGCCAACAGGCGACACACCGCTAATCATCAAGGGCCCTAGACATTGCCCCCAAGGCACCCATGCTAAATCGCTGGAACTCCGCAGGGTTGGATTCCCCGCTTGTAAACACAGCACCGTCGGCGTCCGTCCCATAATAGGAGACCCATACCGTCGTCTGTGCCTTCTTCAACGCATCTCCCGCCAAACATTTGGCGCAATTCTTCTTCCCGGGCAACCCGACACAGACGCTCCCAGAGTCGTAAGGACAGTAACCGCGACTGTCACACGTGGGCTCAAAACCTGAACTTGTTGGATATGACGTGTTACTCCCGTAGGTGTATCGACCCCGGGTCATGGAGAAGCGCAGAATGATAAAGTTGACAACGGCCCGCTCACCGTTGCCGCACGCATCGGATGTCTCAGCGAAGAGCACCGCGTTGGAAAGGTCCTCCGTTTGGTTTCCTGCAGATCCCTGGCCGTAGATGGACATCCAGGCGAATTCTCCCGCACGAAGACTCGAGAGCAGTGAACCTGTGCCGGTGAGATTAAACGCCTGAAGCTCATCCACAACGGGACAAAACCCAAACGCGATCATCGCAGAAGGGTGAGAAAGCCGCACCCCATAGCGGAGGTCCATTCGCTTACCAACAGCGCAGCGCCGCTCCACCCCCCACGGTTGGCAAGCCGAACCCGAGGTGCATGCGCTGCCCTGTGCACCAGCCGAAGCAATTAGGCAGGCGACTACCGCCAGAAAGGCCGCAGAAAAAGCGTTGGCCATCCCGCAACCTGCCTATATATAAAAAAAAAACAGCCACAACAACGGAGGGGCCAAAAAAAAGAAAAAGTCTGAATGAACAGATCGCGAGACCTGGTATGGGAGGGAGGCGGCGAGGCCACAAAATCGGCGAAACAGCAGCAGGTTTGGTATCAGCAAGCACGAAGTATTGTAAAGCGACTTCGTAGAAAACGCAGGAACACTAGCCCTGTTGTATATACTACGCCGACAAAACGGCAAGCACAAAACTACAGCAAAAAAAAGTGAAGGAAAGGGAGCGGGGTGAAGGGGAAGCCATACAAGAAGATCACACCCCTTTCCCCTATTATATATATTTTTTGTTGTTTTTCCCTCCTTAACCATCTCCTCTCCTTCTTTTTCTTCTTTGTGCAATTGCAGGCAAAACTCAGTAACTAGCGCCATCTTCTTCAGCTGTCCCGCTACCGTGCGACTACCAGCCCAGCTTCAGGCTGTCGAGTGCCTTCTTAAGTTCCATAAACAACCGATTCCCAGCAAACTGTCTATAGTTCAGCGGGTTCAGTCCACCGCTCCGCATTGGGCGACCATGTGCATCGGTTCCATAGTATGAGGCCCACACAGCAAGATGCTGATGCGTAACGTCCAAAGGGGATTCGTAACATTTTGCACAATTTTTGTTTCCAACTTTATCCCCAATGCAGACACTAGACGAATCAAAAAGACATTCGTCATTCCCATTGCACGTCGGGCGGAATCCAACCATTGCCGGCTGCACCACAACCTCATCCTCTTGCATGGCAGTTTCCTTAGCAGCCCCGGAGGCACGGCTTGTAGCATTGTCTGTAGCATTCGGTGGCGAGGCCATCCTAGCGCCAATGTAGTTAAATAACCCCCGGTGCAGGCCGATGTCCAGAAGCAAGGTATGAACGAGTGCCACGGAGCGGGGGGAGCCGCACACGGAATTCCCACTTTCCGCCACCATAACAATCCCTGTGGAGAGGCCTTCCTGGGGAAACAATGTACTGTTTGACATCCCAAATCCATACACGGAGAGATACTTCCGACCAATGTTGTGTGAAAGAGCAAAATAAGTACCGGTGGCGTTGAGCGTCGTCACGGCAGAAGCCAAGAAGAGCGTGAACACATCAAGTTCGTCAACCACGGGGCAGAAACCATAGACTGCAGTTACCGGTTTCCCACCTGCCGCAGCACGCCTCTCCGCCGCAACATCCAACATGAAACGAAGGTTCAGCCGCTTTCCACGCACGCATGGCACCTGCACCTTATCCTCCACACCCCCACTCGCCCAGGGGTAGCACGCCTTCGCGGTCCCACAGTCAATGTCACCCTCCACCGCCTCAACGGTGCCTGCGAGACACACCAACGCAACAACAACAAAAACACGGAAAATCATAGCGTACTAACCGGCCTCACTTTCTTTTTCTTCCAAGTCCCAAAGGATGAAGTCTCCCAGAAGACATCAAAAAGGCAACACATCAAAAGAGGGCTTAATCTACAGAGAAACAATTTTTTTTAAAAGAAAACAATAACAAAACAAAAGCATAATACCAAGAAAAAGAAACATAAAAGAAACAGACGATGGGGTATGCTCTGCAGCAGTTCCCCGCCTCTTAAAACTCTCGCGCTCCTCCCACTTTGACGCAGTCGCCTGCCTCCTGCAGAATGCCTTAAAATTCACTCAAGGAGATGTCAAACTGTGGAATTGGCATGGCACACACTTCAGCGGTGCCCCGGATCGCGGGAAAACCGATAAAAGACGTAGAGAGACGCCCGAAGCACGCCAATATCATCTCACCACCACCAAACACTCCAAAACGAGGTAACAATTGCCCAAGACGCTACTCTTGAAACTAAACGAAGTTGTGACTTGTAAACAGATCTGCAGGGTTTCGCTGGGCGACCTCACGCTATCCCAAAACGTACCGCACCGTATTCCGGAACGGCGGAATGCGAGACTCAAGCGTCCTCAAGTTGAAAGCATTCTTATGTCCTCATATCATGAATCTAATGTTATTGAGGATCACATTGCCCTAACGCCTCCTCTCCCCCCCCCCCCCACGTTAGTAGCACAGAACGCACAGGTGAGCTTCTTCACCAGTGCGCGCCCGTTCCATTGCAGCTTGGCACAATAGCGCATTTGCCACTTGATATATCGTTGAACGCCGATCCCCCTTTGAAAACTCGACGATGCCGTTGAGGAATTATTGTCTGCGCCGCCGAATTCTTCGCGGGGAAAGTGCCCGACAAGGGCACATTGTGCGCTATACGAGGGAGTTTGCTGCGTCGGATCCGGCGAGCTGCGTCCGGAGGACGCACACTTGGGACAGGACGCAGCAAACGCAGAGCCTTGGCCGGGGTTCAAAACACTGGCGTTGGAGGAAGGAATTCGCCGGGCATCCCTCAGTAATGGCTTTCCTGTGCGATACCTTCCCATCGCCAAGAGCGCAGAAGCACAGCAGGGGCAAAAAAAAAAAAGGAGGGGGGGGAAACAAAACGCCAGGGTCAGGGCAGACGACAAGAAAAGTGCAACACGGCCAAACATGCGACAACGGAAGAACAACTCGACAATGTAGACAGCAACAACAACGTAAAAACAACAACGCAAAAATACACATTCACGCACAACGCCTTTTCAAGAAAGGTCGGACAGGATCAAACGTATATATCCATAAATATATATAGCGGAGCAAGGGCACTCTCCCCCAATGAGCCCATTCCCCAAAAAAAGCAAATATCTCAGACGCTTCTACGCAATAGTCAAAACTAAAAAAAAAATACCTTTCCTTACTGGTCATCCAAGCACTCGCAGAAGGAGCCTCGAATTCAACCCACATCCCCACACTACATACCGCTAATCCCAAAAAAAAAAATAACTCACCTTGCCTCTTTTTTTCTTTTGTTGTCGCTGTAGCTGTGATTCCCTCCTATTGCACACAAAAAACAGTCCGCTTGCGCAATCGCGCCTAGTGACTCCCTATTCCATACCTTCCCTAATGTAAAGCCCCACCACTACCCTCCTCCTTGGACTCTGCGTACGCTGGGTGAACCTCATATTTATGATGCGGGTGCTTCCATCGATATCGTTCAGGATCAAAAACGGAACGGTACACGTGCGGATCAGGCTCTTTACCGTCTTGAAAGGGCCTGTCACGCAAAACGCCCCCAATGTCACGTATAGGCTGCATCAAATCACTCACAGACTCTGGTGTGGTCGAAATTTTATGCTCCTCACTCTGCCAGTCGTCGTCTTTGTCCTCCTTGGTGGACATATTGATAAACTTCAGTCGGCACCACTTGCAGGAGACAACAACACCCGGAGGGCACTTGATAAAGATTTTCGGATGCTGCAGGATAAAGTGGGAGTGACCCTGGCACCAGATGCGTTCGCGATACACAGGAACAGGAGGAATCTCACAAACAATACCGCCTCGATTGTACCAATTCAACTGAGGGGTGCGGCGCCCAGGCCCCAAAATGCCGGGATGAAGAGACGCCAACTCGTGCACGTGAGTATTCCAGCCATACTTGGGGTCTTTGGGATGCGTAAACACTAGTTGCTTCTGGTTCGTCACACGGCTAGCGTACTCTAAAGGCATATACACGGGCGGACTATAAAACCCCGTATTGTTCGAAAAAGTCCAAAGACAGACAACACTACGACGCATCCTAAAAAAAAAATCAAAAACGAAAAAACTAATACCCAACACACCAAATAAACGGAAACCCTAAGAAAAAAAACATATATATATAAAAGAGAAGCAGAGATCAAGAAATAAACAAAAAAAAAAGAGCACACAGAAAAAAAAAGCACACACGCACAAGGGTAGAAAATCTCCCGCCACGAGTTACCTCAAACCTCATTACCAGCAGACAATAATATATCCCTACAAACCCTTATTCACCGGATGCTGCAACATCACATCGCCCAGCTTTATACAATAAAATTACCGGTTGAATTCAGAAAAAAAAAACATCGTCCTAAATAGTTGTTCGAATTCCACTCCTCTTTTGAAAGAAAGAAAAACATTTTTATTTTATTTTATTCCTTTTCTGCAACTTTTATTTGCCGTGGGCCCCGCGTCGATTAGGCTGGGGCAGCGCCTGCACAGGAACTCGCGCGACACGCATTGT